ATATCGTATAGCTGGAAAAGGAAAAGCGGTCTGATCAGTTAGCTACCCAGTATCCGAGTGGGTAGCATGCTCGCGTTCTGCCCATGAGGTCCCGGGTTCGCAGTCCCCAGTTGGGTTGATGGACTCGCGCACTACTGATGGGACCCAACCAGCTGGAACTAGCTGTCCAGGACTTCCTAGCTTTTCGGTTCACGCTTCATTTGCCATATACACGACGAACTTCCACTATGAAATTGAATCAAATATTCCATTACTCAAATGAACCAATTAGGAATAATCTCCTCTCGGCTGTTCACGCACTGAGAAGACGCGGAAAGAACAAGAAAAAGCGAATGCCGTGATGTGACTGAACAGAACTGATCACATTTCTGGGCTCATCCGAGACGGATTTTACTGCACAATGAGTGACCTTTGCGTGTCCGGAAATCACCGGCTGTCTGGCCCATGAGCTTTGGACTTACGATGAGTGTAGTCCGACTCTGTACGGGGTATTCAAGAACTTAAGACAAACCAGATAGATAAATAGAAGAGAAAAAAGGAAACTTGTATAACAGAAGTAAATAGTGTGAGCTGTATACACAAACCTCATCACACAAACACATAAAGAGTGGATTCTTTGTACAACACAATGATCAAACAAACCCAGTGGTAATGGACCAATCAGAAAGCAGTTTTCGTCATGTGCCTCTTTTCTAGTTGAAATTGAGAAAACCCAATTTGAATGCAGTTCCACTAGCTTTGGGACAAGGTTTGATGAGTCGAGAGTTCCTAACTGACACATTAAAATACGATGAGGAACCTAATATTTTTGTGGAATAAATTATGCAACGAAGGGCGCATTTTGATTCATCAGATCGATGACAACATGGATCCGCATAGATCACAAGTGAAGTGAGATTAAAAAAAATTGCGCGGGGTCAGAAAACAGTTGCACTCCAAAACAAGTTCCGTCTGTCGGCAGTGATTTTTCCTCTCTCACTCACTCTTACATTTCTGCCCATCCTATGCAATAAACTGTTGTTGTCTGTTGATCAATTAATTCATGAATGTGTCACCTCCAATGACCAAGGCATCTTAGGTAGAGTGGGAGATGGGCGGAAGGTCGGGAAGAAGTGAGAGAGAGAGAGAGAGATAGAAAATGCCTGAATGGTAGTTTAACGCATCGCGATAGTCCAATGGTCAAATGCACTATCGGTTGACATCACGGTGTGCAAGAGACAGAGAGAGAGAGAGAGAGAGATGGAAAACTTGGAGAAGAAGCATTTGGCGTGGATCCCCGGGTTCTCTTATCCAGGAAGTCGAACGCGGCCTATGTGGGCATGTTTTTATTGTTTTGTTTTTTCTGACACCCATGTCTGGTCTTTGTTTGACCGCTATGGGCTCTTTTTTCACCCGCTGTCTGACTCGGCAAACATCGCGTGCTGTGACAATCTATTTGGTGACTTGCGCGCAACACATCCGAAAACAACGTCATCTATAACGGTCAACCATTTGCTCCAGTGTGGGACCAAGATTACCTAAAACTCACTGTCTAACCTCATTACTGCTCGTTCTACTTCCCCAGCGAACTCACGCAACGCAACATAGATAGTGGTGTTTGAACACCGTTCCCGTTGTGGCCAAGTCTCCCTACCGTAAAGCGGAACTGATCGAGCTGCTGCCGTACACTCGATTCTTCTCAGTCAGCCAGATGTCTAGATGACGTAACAGATATCTCAAGTTAATAAATGCTGACACTTCATCCGTGACGCGTCCTCCAGGTAAAACAGGAATTGGGAAGTCTTGTATCGATGGGGGCCAGCTGAGCTGTGCCTTAAAGTGTTCTGCCCATCGTTCAAGACAGCATTCCTAACGATGAATCAGTGTACAGCCAGATTCCGTAATTACCACATTTACGCCTACTTTGCTTGAGCCTATTATCGATGGCCGCAACCCCCATCAATTGACAATCGCCTATTCACCACTTCATGCATTCATTCCTCTGGCTCTTTATGAGCTGACGTTTTAGGGAGTTGCGCGTTTTATCGTATTTGTCATTGGAAAGAATGGATTTATGATTGTCTCGCAGTGCAGCCGAGGAGATCCATTGCGGAGATCCGCCGTTGTTTTGATTGAACTTTTGATGGCTTCCTTGACTAACGTCCACTGTCCACTGAGTAACTGAGCTGATGATTGAGCTGAGAGGCAGTCAGATATCTCCGGTTGGAAGGCCTATTTCAAACCACTGCTGACAATGCATTGTGAGCATGCATTTCCGGTGGTTTTTCTACGGTTGTTCACTGTATAATTAGAATCTGGTTTGTTGCAAAGCATGATCCCTATCCACGTCTGTTGTCCAGCATGAGGGTATTCTTAAATGAAATCCCCTCCAGCGATGGCTGATGACGATGTGGTCAATTTGAATTCATCACTGTGAAGAGGTTGGCGGTTTCCATGTAAGGCGATTTCACTTCAGGTGCGAGAAGTAAGCGCTTGAGAAGAAACGTTCGTGCTCAGCGCAAAGTTGACGTATGTGTTCTACGTTGTCTGTCCGTTCGGCTGGGATTGCATGTGCACCACTAAGAAGTCTTTCTGATTCGTCCAAGGATCCCACTTGAGTATTGAAGTCTCCAGCGACTACAAGGATGTCCGTTGACCCAGCTCTTTGGAGTAGTTGAGAAAGATCCTTGTAGAATTCATCCTTCATTTCTGGCGAACTACAATCAGTCGGTGCATACATGGATACGGCGAACAAACATTGACGTATCATTGTGTAGCTATTGACCCGTAATGAATCATCCAAACCTATCGCGCAAAATCGGCTACTAACCAGGATCCAATCGAGAATTGAACACTCGGGTTTGACACTTAGCGCAATCCCGACACCAACAACACTGCGAGCTTCAGAAAACGAATCGTCTGACACACGGGGAATTAAGTGTGAGGAAAAGGTTGAATTTAGAGATCCCAATCAGGATTACTGAAGTAGGGCCTTTGTATGCGTGTTTCTGAGGCACACCGTACATCTAAATTGAAAGTTTCAAAAGTGTTAGCTAAGGCAGCTTGTTGACCTATCTGATAGAGTGTGTGGACAATAAATGCAGTCAAGTGCAAAAGAGATTTTGGTTTAAAAAGCAGGATAGCTCCTGGTTGGTTGACCTTACTAGATGAACATTAAGAAGTATCCCGTGAATGGCGTAAACAGGAGATATCTGAAATGAAATGGGTAGTGAGGGGAAGTACTAGGCAAGTGGGACAGAAGGTTTTTTAAATGGGTGCTTGAGACTTTAGGGCATGACATACTTCTCGGTAGCTCATCGTGGCGCGGAGAGTTTTATTTTTCGGCAAGGCTGATCGAAGCCTTGGACTCAAAATTCTGATCCATAAAGCAACCTGGGATAGTCGGCACGAAATAATGAAAGGGTGTTTCAATGGAACCGAGATTCTACTATGCATATATCCGCTGTTACAGATAATTGGCCAGGGAATCCCTTCTACATAAGCATGACCTCATTAAGTTGAGATTATTGTCATGATAGATTAATAGCGCTGGTTGGCACCGGTACTTCCGACGAAATAGCGCTACAGTGTCTCTTTCCTGGTACAGATAGAGAAAGAGAGAGGGCAAGATTGGTTCCGACGAATGAATTTGCATAAGCAAATGCTTCTTACCTGATATGTGAGCGGTAGCACAAAAATTCAGTACTCCCTCAATGCGTCCAACATAACTCGAGCTCCATGATACGTGACAAGTGGATCTGTTTTTCTTCTGGGCTCGGATTACAACCTGTTATAAGCTTTTCGATGACGGTACTCACAATCCGATACACGCGTAGAAGCATTCTGCATTAGCTAAATCCACCACGGTTGTTTGCAGTCAGCATCATCTTTTAATTAAAAAGAAAACAAGAAAATAAACTCTCTGGAAATGCAACCGGAAACGACCAATGTTTATGGGTTTTTCGCTTGAGATAAATAAACGTGAAATCTTGCTGTATCGAACACCAATCGGCCCGCGCAAAATTCGGCGGTGACGCGGTCACTGCCAAACATGTCAGTCCAGTTCAGCCCACCCGCCTACCCGTCCACATGCCTACCCGCCCACCCGTCTCGCTGCTTGCTTGCTCTGATGGCCCGCCAAATGGATGCTGATTACGGTCGGTATTCACTGCACAACGTTGTCAGCACGAGTGTACATAACTGGAAGGTCTCTAGTTCCACCAAAGTCACATTCATCCATCGGTTGTCATGGCTACCGGTTTCAAGCAGCACTCACGCGCACATGAACGATACGCATGACCGAAAATTCCTATCCGCCGAACCAGACAACAAATAGGGTGTTCTCGGTCCCCACAAACCAGTCGGGCTGGCCTGATCGTACGAAACGGTCTGCATTCAAATTACCTTTATCAACATGAATCGATCGATTGGTCAAGGAGAACAATACGGTTGAGTAACGTTGAGTAACAGTTTGTGCTCTGCTTGATTGGAGAATAAAACTTTGTTGTTGAATGAAACTTGGATGCACACAAACTGAGTTGTATATGTATCTGACACGTGTATCTTCGACCAGTCAAAAAATTCAAAATTTATAAAATACAAATTCGTTGACAGATTTAGTATATCCAATTCGTGGGACCGAGATCTATACAGGAATAAAAATTTGATGTTTGAGAATTCGCTGGAGCCAAACCAACAATATTGGACTTGTGCTCAACGTGTTCCGGTTGACCGTGAGAGTACAGTCTAGGCGTTTTTGCGGATACCAGGATCTGGGCATGATTGCCAGTAATAATGTTTTGTTGTTGTCGCTGTTATTGTTGTTGATGATCACAATGATGACACGGATGATGATGATGATGACGATGATGATGATGATGATGATGATTCGGATGAAGACGTTCCAGCTCTATAGAACTCTCCATGTTCTAAATATTTAACGGAGTAGTATTCTCATAGGAAAAAAAAGAATCAGACCGCCAGTTAGTCCCTATTCATATTCACGACTTTATGCTAAGCACTCAAATTCCTCGTTCAGTTTTCTTTTCCCCGGGCATTTGGAAATCAAACCGGGCTTGATTCTTAACAGTAGCCGAATGAAAACAGCACCACAACCGAGTTTTAGTCCAACCATTATTGCAATCGGCCGCATCGGCAACAGCATGAGCACCGCCACCAACACCACCCGGAAACGATTTCATATAACGTGACTGAATTCTGCCGAGTACATCCGGCATTGTAACACCCAATGTATGAATTATCAATGAACGCGGGAGATCGAGGAGTGTCATAAATTTCACACACAAAAAACACCCCTTTCACCTC